TGTATGTACCACCTTTAATGTTTGTTTGATCCTTCTTAACAAGTACTTTAGTAGTTGAAATTGAAGTTCCTCTAGATAGTGTGACATATAATTGTCCATAGGAGAACACGTGCTCAGGTAAATAAACTCCAACATAATGAATTGTTTGGCCCTGTGCCTTATTTATTGTCATTGCAAAACTCAACCGGATTGGAAACTCAACCGGATTAATAAAGATAAGGATAAAGATGAGAACATCTGATTCTAACAGAGAAGGTAATACAACTATCAAATAATCAGACAATTTAAGCACTAATTAAAGAGACAGTGAAAAAAATATAAAAAAAACATTCAATTAAATTTATTATATTGAGAGAACAATAAAAATATTCAAATTTAATATAAAAAAAAAATTATATGTAAAAGATGGCTAGCACTAATTAAAAAGACAATGAAAAAAATAAAAAAATAAAAAACATTCAATTAAATTTATTATATTGCGAGAACAATAACAATATTCAAATTTAATCAAAAAAAAAAATATAATTACAAAATTAATGAATTACTTTACCAATATGGAGTGGGGGTGACACGTACCTTGCAAAAAAAGCTCCGATCTTGGCAAAACTTGGACTAATAAGAAGAAGAGAAAGACAATTGATTAGGTTTTTTTTTTTTTTTTTTTTTTTGTATACATTAAATATAGCAATATATATAATAAAACAATGCATGATCAAAACATAAGATTAATAATAAAACAATGCATGAGCAAAAAATAAAACAATGCACGTACCTTGAAAATTGATGTGATTAGATGAAGGAAAAAAAAGACTTATATATATAGAGAGAATATAGATTTAATTAATATCCAAAATGGACTCTCTTTCTCCCTTCCTGCTGCAATCATGTTAGGTTTTGAATTTTATTACGTTTTCAATTCCTTCCTGCTGGGACTGTTATTATAATTTATTATATTTTGCGTGCTGTAATCGTGTTAGGTTTAGTAGTATTACTATAGTATAATTTTAATTTTAATTATTAGGTTTTGAATATAATTTGAATTTTAATTATTATATGTTTTGAATTTTAGTATAATTTGAATTTTAATTAAACTCTTTATTGATTATGAAATATAATAATTAAACTCTTTATTGTGAATTAAACTCTTTTTATGAATAGGTTTTTATTAATGAGAGTAGTATAGTATAATTTGAAGTGGGAATTAAACTCTTTTTATATTTTGTTAATTAGAATTTTATTAGGTAATTACTGTTATTATAATTTAGTAATTTATTACCGTTGAAGCATGTGGTAAGTTACAGAGCTTTGGAGGTTCTCAAATTAGGAGAGGTTGTGTTGTATTTTGCTTTTCCTGCTTGGTTGGTTATTGCATATTGGTTGGTCTCTCTCGTTTGATGTATTAATTTTGCTTTCCAATATATCATTTTTAGTGTGGCTTACAGTAATAAACTCACGACTCATTTACATCAAGGATTTTATTAAATAAAAAATATGAAAATTGACAAATAATTTAATATATGGACCATTTGGTCAAGCACAATTGATTATAGATTGAATTTTCAACAGTAACTCTAAAACTATTCCGAAATGTTCAGATCAAATATGGTACTTAATTTAAATATGTTTGTTCTCAAGTGTGGAGAGAATTATTTGGTCCATATGGGTTTGGTTTAGGTTTTGAATCCCTTCCTTCTGCAATCGTGGGATATAATAATTAATGAGAATAGTATAATATACCAATAGGCATGTGGCCTAGCGGTACAAGGCTCTTACTTTCCAAAAGGAGGTCAGGAGTTCGAACCTCGGTGGAGGCAGTGTGTGTGAGTCCCACCTAGGAAAAAAAGAATAGTATAATATAATTTGTTAGGTAATTATTGTTATTATATTTTGTGTACATAGTATAGTATAATTTGAATTTATTATATTTTGTGTGAGTAGTAGCATACTGCAAAATTTAGTACTACGCTTGATCTTAGCCAAAAGGCCGAGAATGTGTGATTATTATTTCTTTAGCTCTATAGTTTTATAAGAGGCTTTCATGTAATCCTTTTTACTTAAAACCAATGTGGGACTTTGTAATTTGAATTAAACTATTTTTATATTTTGCTAATTTGAATTAATTTTAATTTTATTACGTAATTTTGAGTTTTATAGAATTTATATCATGGGATATAATAATTAATGAGAGCTCTTTATTGTGAATTAAACTCTTTTATATTTCGTTAATTTGAATTTTATTAGGTAATTTTGAGTTTTACAGAATTTATATCAATTAATAAATAAATACTGAAACTCTTTGCACAAAGGCCGATAAAGTAGTACTACACTTGATCTTAACCAAAAGACCAAGAAATGTTAGCCAAAAGACCAGCCCAAAAAAATTTAGTACTACACTAAATCTTAGCCAAAAGGTCGAGAAGGTGTGATTATTATTTCTTTAACTCTATAGTTTTATAAGAGGCTTTCATGTAATCCTTATTACTTAAAACCAATGTGGGCCTTTGTAATTTGAATTAAACTCTTTTTATGTTTTGTTAATTTGAATTAATTTTAATTTTATTAAGTAATTTTGAGTTTTATAGAATTTATATCAATTAATAAATAAATATTTAGTTTGTTAATTTGAATTATTTTTAGTTTTATTAGGTAATTTTGAGTTTTTATAGAATTTATATCGTGGGATATAATAATTAATGAGAGCTCTTTATTGTGAATTAAACTCTTTTATATTTTGTTAATTTGAATTAATTTGAATTTTATTAGGTAGTTTTGAGTTTTATAGAATTTATATCAATTAATAAATAAATACTGAAACTCCTCTTTGCACAAAGAGGCCGAGAAAGTAGTATTACACTTGATCTTAGCCAAAAGATTAAGAAAGGTTAGCAAAAAGGCCGACCCAAAAAAATTTAGTACTACACTTGATCTTAGTCAAAAGGCCGAGAAGGTGTGATTATTATTTCTTTAGCTCTATAGTTTTATAAGAACCTTTCATGTAATCATTTTTACTTAAAATCAATGTGGGACTTTGTAATTTGAATTAAACTCTTTTTATATTTTGTTAATTTGAATTAATTTTAATTTTGTTAGGTAATTTTGAGTTTTATATTATTTATATCAATTAATAAATAAATACTGAAATACTTTGCACATTTAATAATAGTATAGATTTAGATATACCTGCAACAAATAAATGTTGTTGTACCTCCTATATTGAAATTTGACCAAATTTTGTACTAGTTTTTGTGGTGCATTTTTCATCAATTTAATTTTTCGATATTGCATGTTGTTTTAATTGTATCATGACGTACAATGGCCTAAATCAAACACGCAATCACGCGTTACCATGTATTTTAATCCTATGCAAATTATCTTCCTCAATTTTTCTCTCCAAGTATATTCCAGCCATCATATAAGGTTGTGAACATTTCATATCATTGGTTGTGCAATACCTATTACATTATGGTTACATACACAACTACATCCTAACAAAAGTGATGACATGACACATTCATAATCACGGAATGATGGCTTCAATGTATTTGGAGAGAAAAAGTACGTAAAGGAGATGATCCAAATCCGTTTTAATCTAGGGCGCCGGCAGTCATTGTTATAGAATAAGATACACTCGTACGATAGAGAATTGGATTCCACCTCCAGGCTTGGAAATGGATCCTTTCCAACTAAATCTCTCTTCTGAATTTCATTTTATAGTTCAGATTCAAGGGACGGATCCAGGAGGGGGAGGGGGAACAAAAGTAAATTTAGTGTAATTTTTTTGTTATTTTAGGAGGGACAAAATAAAAATTTTATAAGTATATAATTGAAAATAAGAAAAATTAGTGGTATATAACAGTAAAAAAAATAAATTCTTAAACTCTATGTTGATAAAAATTTCTATTACCACTATAATTGTGAGTGATAAAATTGAATCAGATAATGACGTGACTAAATCTGAACTATATGATTGAGGATAAGAGTTTAGTAGAAAATTTTGGCCAGAGAGAATCCTTGTGCATCCAAACCGATTTAACAAGTGGGGGAATTTCTTTATAACTAATTTATGGGCTGTTATTGGGCTTGTCTTACCTCATCTAGTCTTCCCTTACATTGCAATTTATAAGACAGTAGCCGAATTTCTTTAGATTCCATGGTGGAGCCCAGAAAGGACATACTGTTGTACCCTTAAATTTGGACACAATGCGGTAATAATGACCCTGGTTTAATAACCAAGGCATTGCATAGTATTTTTTTTTAGCAGTACCAGACTTGTGTAGGACATGAAAACCTACTGTTTGGTACAATTTAATATTTCTTCAGAAATCTTCCTAAGACCACAAAGTTTATCTCAAGACATTAATGTGTGAAATGAACACTATCTTCATTAAAGCCTAGAGTGAGATTCGTAGGTTATGAAATGTTCTTGTATACCCAACCCAAAAGAAAGACTATTGAATTTCATATTAATACGTTCACCAAGAACAACTGTATTTAATTGAAAGGCATTTCAAAGAGTATTGTTCATACATTAATGTCTTGAGATAGACTTTGGGGGATTAGGAAGATTTGTGAATATAATTTAGATTTAAAGAGCTCAATTGATTGAATATGCTTGTGTGGCTACGATTTTCATGTCCAAGTTAAGAGGCCAATGTCGTTCTGGGATGGTGATATCCAGTGAAGGACCCAAATAATTATATGACAAGGGGCGACTTTGAATAATAAAAATATAGAATGAAAAACGTAAAAAAAATTATTTCTTGTTTACTTTATTTCTTTTATAAAATGTATGTAGGGTAAAGTACATTAAACCTCTCCGAACTTTCTTCTCTTGCACACAAAACCCCCCCGAACTATGACAAAGACATTTAACCCCCTAAACTATTCTATTTGTTGCAAATGTTAAACTCACCATTATAAATTTAACAGAAATACGAGCACTTATGTCACATGAGGGGTTAAAAAAAATTGAAAGGACAAAATTAGCCCTTATGACACAATTAAGAGATAAAAGTAAAACCCTTGTCCTCGCCGGAGAGAAATTCTCCCTCAAGTTGTGATGATCCTTGCCGACGAAGATGTGTTAGATCGCCGAGCTCCGGCACGGACCAACGGCAGAGACTCAAATTCCGGCCGCCGGTTTTTGCCTACTAAATGCAATCCAATAACCGACAAAAGAAAACCACCCCTCAACCCTCCGATGACAACATGGTAATCGAAAACCCAAAAAACCCTTTTTAGAAAATTCAAGAAATTTCACAATACACCTCTCCTAAAAACAGAAAAGTCGAACAGAGACAAAATTGAAAACGACGATCAAATTTACGCTTGGATCTCCAGCTACCATGGCTGGGATAGTGTTGTTAATTAATGAAATTAGGGTTTGTGATTAAAAAGTTGGAAGAATAATTGAACTGCAAACTGATGGAAATTGCTCTTCCTCCTCTCTCTCTTTATACTTTTTTACCTCTTTGGCCTCCAACTCCTGCGACAACAGGTGGAAAATCATTCAACAGGGGTAAGGGCTAAACGGTAATTTTATTTTTCAGTTAACAGCTACTTGACAGTTGGTGAATGAGTGCAACAAAATGATAGTTTAGGGGGTTTTACTTAGTTCAGGGGGGTTTCTTGCAATTGGGTCATAGTACAGAGGGGTTTAGTGCACTTAACCCATGTATGTATGAAGAAAATTCAATTATCTTCTTTCTTTTCACACCAACCAGGTGTAATAGTTCAGTTCGAACCCCCACACATTCGGTAGTAACCATCCACCCTCATCCATTCAAATATATAGTCTATCTTATGCTTGTTTTTCTTAATTCTCATATTTCACCTGCTTTTTATTCATTAGGTTGAATATTTGTTGAGTGGTTTTTGTAACATTTAGAAGCTAAATTGACTACCGTTATAAATATTTGATCTTGACTTGCCCTTGCAATATACTAATATATAAGTTAGATAAAATTTCTGATGACCAATGTGTTGGGATTTATATGTCCTGGCATAGCAAATTCCTATTTGGATTATAGTGACATATGTTTCTGACATATCTGAAATATTTATGATTTATATAATTGATGAATTCAATGTATTAAGTTTCAATTCATTATGGAATTGATAGTGTCCACTTGATTACAAGATATATTTATATATGTAGGTGATGGCGATCGATACATGAATATAAATAGTAATCATAAATTGTTCATAGTCGATAATTATGGATGGACATTTAATTAACTAAGACTTGAACCGAGTCCATAATAGGTTGAGATATATTGCGAGAGTCGTCGCATGCAATTACTCTCTATCACAGTCATGGCTTTTGACTCTCAAGCATGAAAGAAATACAAACTCTTTTATTTATTAATAATTACTTTGATTTATTCGGCAGATACTTCGAGATCTATAAACCGTCACTTTGGGTAATTATGTAATTAATAGTTAAAGGGTTATATTATCAATATTTGCATCAATACTACTTGTATTTATTTTGTATTGATTATGGTTGATCACAAATTAAATTCAAAGGCCTTTGTATGTTTTAGATAAAATGTTTATATATATATATATATATATATATATATATATATATATATATATATTTATTTATTTAGTAAATTATTATTTTTTGTCAAACAAATTTTTATTGTGATCAAGCCGGAAATAATTAAAAGTAATAAAATAATTATATTAATTATATTGTCGGATTAATGGCTTTATAATCCGATAAATAATTATGCATAGAGGAGTCAAAGTGCAACATTGACTTAGAGGTTATTTACTATTTAATTGGAGTGCAATTAATTTCTTTTAGTAGAGTAAAAATTAATTTATGAATTAATTGAATTGAGTCCATGGTTTAATAGACCGGACCAATTGTTAATTTATAATAGCCAAGAAAATAGTAAGCCCAAAGTATTCTTACCCATAACCCAAGTTGATATTAAAGCCCTATTAGAATTGAGAAATGTGAATTAGAGATTGACAAGGATTTATTATTTCTTTTTCTTATCTTTATGATTGCCTATATATACATGAGTCCATGTATATTTTAAGGTAGACATTTAGAAGAAAAGAAATAATATATTTTCTCTCTCTGGATTTTAGCAAGACTTTGAAAGAAAAATGAATATATTTTCTCTCTAATTTTTAGGATTTGCTTTCTATTTTAAAGGAGGCTACCACAAGCCTTGCCTCCAAGGTCATTCATCAAGGTATATGGGTGATTCCTAAAGGCATGATCATTACCAAGAAGATGGAGATCCAAGGAAAAAGCATCTAGCAAAGGGATATGCAATAAGTGAGAATATTCACTTTAAATGAGAAATCTAAGGTTTACTCAAACCTTGATATAAGTATTCAATCTATTAATTAAATGATACATCATCTTTTATTTTATTTTGCATAAAACTTGTCTCTATGTGATGAATCAAAATCTATTTATGAAAATCCCTCAAAAAGTTTTTCAAACTTGTACGTTTTATTTATTTTTTTTTTGGTAAATAAGTAATTCATTAAAAAAGAAAAGAAAATACAAGAAGGTCCCTCAGCCCATACAAAACTGGGCATGGAAACAAGAAATAAAAAGTCCACTATAGTGGCCCAAAGAAACCTACAAGGAAGTCTTAACGCCCAAAAGCCCAAATACAACATTCTACATCCATAGCATTAGCTACCTTCAACCACATCCTCGGGTGAGATGACTCAACAAACCATGAAGAATCCACACTACTGGTTATGGTCGGGGAAGGTGTTGAGTAGTTGGGATCAGTGGAAATGGTGGTGGTGGTAGAGGTGGAGGATTTTGGGTAAGTTGAGTGGTTGCGAAATGGAAGAAGGGATTTGACTGGTCAGGCTCATAAAAAGAAACTGGGAGATTCCAATCTGCTGCAATTTCTCTCGCAAAGGGGCATTTAACTTTCTTGACAAAGAATAGCTTCAGCCTGATTGCGTTGATCACCGAGTTCATTGTTTGGCCTGGAGGTAATGAGGTATTTCTAAACATTCTATTATTTCGCTCCTTCCAAATGTGATAAATATAGCTAGCCAATGTTAGCTTCCAAACCATAACTCTGCTTCTCTTAAGTTTCTGTTTCCAATTAGATGATGCCCAAATTAGGAAGTCTTTCCAAGAGTTAGGGTTTGTGTAGAACCTACATTTATGTTGAAGACCAGCCCATACAACTTTTGAATAATCACATTGGTGGAACAGATGTTCGTGATTTTCAGCAGCTCTTAGACAAAGGATACACACATTAGGTTGCATTGTGTAGAAAAGTGTAGGTTTATCTTGAGCAAGTAATTTTTCTTGAATTGTTAGCCACAAACAGAAGGAGTGTTTTGGTATGGCATGTTTAAACCATGTGAGCTTATGCCAGTGGGTAGGGGGGATTGGTTGGGTAATAGCAAGAAGGGTATGTTTAAGGGAATATGTCTTATTGGGAGATGGAGTCCACTGGATGGTATCATTGCAATGAATGTTGGGGAATGGTAAGTTCCTGATATTGCAATAAGGTGAGACTATATTTGAAATATGACTAGGCTATGACCATTGGGAAGTAGTAAGTAATGAAGATACTTTCATGGATTTGTTGAGTAACCAACACTGTCTATGATTAAAGTTAGACAATACCTGATAGAGAGGTCCACATGGGAGCCAATTGTCAAAGAAAACCATTGTTGATGAGCCATTGTTGAGGATGTGTTTGACAAAAGGCTGTGCCAAAGTTCTATTCTGTAGAAGCTTTCTCCAGAACCAAGAGCTGTCACTAGGAATAGAAATGTCCCAAAGGCTCTTGTTTTTTACTAAATTCTTGAGTGTCCATTCTTTCCAAATTCCAGTTGAGTCATTAGAGCATAAAGTCCAGTTATGTCTCAAAATTGAGGCCTTGTTCCAAAGTTGTATATCATAGATGCCCAGTCCTCCTGCATGTTTAGGGTTACACATATGCTCCCATTCCACCTTAGTTCTGTACTTATTCATTGCTTTGCCTGACCATAAGAATCTTTGCATTAGTTGGTTCATCTTGTCACACACTTTAGCTGGTAAAATCAGGAGGTTTGTCCAGTAAATATGCATGCTGAAAAGCGTAGCTTGAATTAACTGTAACCTTTCTACAAAGGATAGAGCTCTTGCAGTCCAACTTGTAACTCTAGAAAGCATGCTGTCAATGATGGATTGGTAGTCATTTGTTGTGAGTCTAATAGAGATTAGAGGTAGGCCAAGGTATTTGACAAGTAGTTCAGCACAAGGGAATTGAAAGATGTTGCATATGGTGTTTTTGGTCTGATGTGGAGTTCCACTGAAAAATAAGTTGCTTTTGTTAGGGTTAGGGGTGAGGCTAGAAAGGTTAGTGAAGGTATCAATGGAAACTTTGAGTGACTGTGCAGATCTTACATTTCCATGGCAGAATATTAAAATGTCATCTACAAAGGTTAAATGTGAGATTTAGGTTGTTTTACATCTCCAATGATATGTAAAGAGAGGTTCATTGCTTGTGATTTGGTTGGTGATACTTAAAAAAACATCCATTGCCAGAACGAAGAGGTAAGGAGATAGAAGATCCCCCCTGTCTTAGCCCTTTGATGCTGTTAAAGAAACCACACAGTTCACCATTAATACAAATAGAAAAGGATGCAGTAGATATACATGCTTTAATCCAAGAGATGAATATTGGAGGGAATTGCATCAGTTGGAGAACATCCAGGATAAACTGCCAGCTTAGAGTATCATAGGCCTTGATGAGATCTACTTTGAGTGTGCATCTAGGTGGATTAAGGTCCCTATGATAACCTCTTAGCAATTCTTGAGCCAAGATGATGTTATCCCCAATTTTTCTACCACTGACAAAGGCATTTTGGGCCTTATCAATTAAGGTAGGCATAATGGGTTTTAACTTATTTACAATAAGCTTGGAAATACACTTGTACAAGACACTACAACAAGTTATAGGTCTGTATTCAGAGGGTGATGATGGGTTAGGGACTTTAGGAATAAGTGCCAAATAAGTTGCATTAACTTGTTTGAATATTTTCCCAAATTGGAAAAAATCCCTAATGGCCAATGTGACATCTCTCCCAACAATGCTCCAAGCCTTTTTGAAAAAGAATGAGTTATAACCATCAAGACCTGGAGATTTTTTTGATTTAATAGAGAACATGCAGTTCATTATTTCAACATCAGTTGGGATAGAGCAAAGAATATCATGGAATTCAGTATTGACTGATTTAGAGATGAATGGTGACAAGGAGTTCAAACCTGGGTAGCAATGAGGATTGCTACCTAGCAAATCTCTGAAAAAATGTGGTGAATGTATGTTTGATGGTCTCCATATCCTTTGTTTCTGCTCTATCCTACAATTTAACACTTGTAATCCTTCTTTTGATAATTCTGGATTGGACACTCTTATGAAAATAACTAGTATTTTGATCACCAAGAGCTAGCCACTTCACTCTTGATTTCTGCTGAAACAACTGTTCTTCCACTTTACTTAGACTGGAATAAGTAAGTAGTAAATCTCTTTCCTGTTGCCTGAGCTCAATGTTCCCTGGATCAGAGTCTAAAAGGTTTTGGCAAGCAGTAAGGTTAAACTTTGCATTCTTTACCCTGCTAGAAATATCACTGAAAACATTGTGGTTAAGATTTTTTAGTGCACTTTTCAGTCTTTTGAGTTTTGTGGTAACCCTATACATAGGCACTCCAGACACTTCAGTATTCCATACAGAAGCAACTGTTGTCAAAAAATTAGGATGCTCACACCAAAAATCAAAGAATTTGAAAGGACATTTCCTTCTTGGTGTGGGAACTCCTATATCCACTAACATGGGGCAATGATCAGAGCACAAAGGAGGAGCAAAATTTGCTGTTGAGTTTGGAAAAGAAGAGAGCCAGTGAGTGTTCACAATGACTCTATCAAGTTTCTTTGCAATTGAGGGCTGTCCCTGGGATATATTGGTCCAGGTGTGCATGTGGCCAATAAACCTCAGGTCATCAAGTTCAGAATTTATAATCCAGTTATTGAGATCATCCATTGAAGGTGTCCACAGGTCACTTCCTGTAATACCCCTAGTTTTAAAAATGATAAAATTGGAATTTCAATTATTTTTAATAAATTATTTGAGTATATTTTTATTTGATAATTGTTTATTTGTGGTTATTATTTGCTTTTAATAAATTTAGTTGATTTATTTGAGATTATTTGCATTTTGTGTCTTATTTGTTTTAATTGCGTTTAATTTTGTCATTTAATTAATTATTTTTGTTACATTGAACTTGATAAGCTGTTTGTTTTAAAATTGACTTATTTGGTAATTGTTAAATTTAATAGGTTAAATATGTAAATTCATTAACTAAGGTTTTAAATATGTTTTCAGTTAGGATTTTCTTGGAGCTGTCATACAAGTATCTAACGTGTATGTGACTTAAGTTTATGGGCCGACTCTAGTTTAATTAGGATTTCTGCCTTAGCTCTAGTTTAATTAGGGTTTTCTAAGGGCCTATATATATATACGTGTATGAGTTTCACTAAGGGTTTTGCAGAACCCTATTCACGGCATAGTGAAAATAGGACGTAACAGAGAGGGAGTTGAGAGAACAGAGGCAGTCGTAAGAGCTACCAAGGACAAGAATAGAGAGGATCAAAAGAGGGTTGTGGTAGTTTAAATCACACCCATAGGAGGCTTAAAGGAAGTTAGTAGTTGCCGGAAACTTAGAGACGATGCTGGGGTTTTCATAACTGAAATCAGGCAAATTCTTCTTCTTTCTCCTTCCCTTTGGCTCGTGTTCTGTGCACCTAGATAATCTCTAGGGTTTAATCAATCAGTAACTAAAATTTACATGCTTAGTATATGTTATATTAATAATCTATTTGTGTTGAAATCAAAACTGTTACAATTTCTACATGTCTCGTTCCAGTTGTTTTTCTATAAGCATGTAATCTCTGTTGTAACTTTAGACTTAGTAATTGATTTGAACTACTGCAAACAAAACCATGGGGACATTACTGGGATGAGATAAGATCCTTAGGTTCAATGGTGAAGAGGAACAGAGGGGTTGGAATTGGACTGAAACTTCTTAGATTAGTTTCAGACTTGTTCTTCAAGTATACTGGTTTAATGGCTTTGTTTAATCTCTGTAATTTGATTTCAAATTATTGTAAACAAATCTTGGGGATGATTTTAGGCTTTAATAAGACTCTTAACTTAGTTTTAAAACCAAACATAAAGGTTGCAACTGGCCGGAGTTGGAACAGAGGTCAGAATGAAGTTGAAACGGAGGGGTAGCTCACAAGGGGAGAGAGAGCCGGCTCTGGAATGCCAAGAGCCAGCTCCCACCTGTTTAGAGCCGGCTCCAAGGTGGTGGTAGAGCCGGCTCTATGCTGATTTGGAGCCTGCTCTATTTTTCTGGAGCAGGCTCTTTCATTTTGAAGCGTACAGTGACTTTTTGGCTACTGTTTGGGCACTTGGGGTTCTTGAACAGTTTTAAAACTTTAGGGGGCTTTTCAATAATTAATTTAACATGTAATCAAGGTCTTAGATTGCATAAAATACCCTCTTTGTATAAATGGAATTAACAGTGCGCTAATTAACAACTTACGCGCGGTTAACTACTAGAAGGAAGTTAAGTTGCCTAATTTCAATTTGACAATTTAAGGGGGGACAATATGATTCTAAATTAAAGTTTGGATGTATAATGGAGTTTTTTAATTAACAAAATTAGACTTGTAGCTTATTGTGGCTCTGTGCTAAAAGATTAAACAGTATACTAGTATATAACTTAGCACGCTGTTATCGGTTGGAGAGAATTAACTTGCTAAATTAATTTAGCAATTTTATTGGACTATAATATGATTGACAAATAATTTTAATGCATGATAGAGTCATTGATACATTAGATGTGATCTACGCATGCTTCGGATGCTAATTGTTGAACCTTTAAACCGTTTCCTGCAAATACATGGTTTAACACTTGGATTTAAATTACTGAAACTATAAATTGTCTTCTGCAATTATTTGGGATGGTTTTTGGATTGTAAATTGCTAAACTGTTAATTGTATGTTATAATTTACATGGTTTGGATGTTCATTGTGGAATCTTATATATTATTCTACAATTAATTGGATTATGGTTTTGAACTAGAATTGTTGTAGCATTGCATAAACTATTCTGCAATTATTTGGATATTTGGTTTTGGATTGTAAATTACTTGCTTATTATTTATATGTTGTAATTTACATGGATATGGAGGATTGTATGCACCGGTATGGGACGGTGACATACTAGGTATGGTTTAGCTCAAAACGCTAATTCCTACCTTATGGATTTTAATTGGTGAACAGTTTTACCTGTTCAATCAATTATATGGATTTTATGGATTGTATGCACCGGTATGGGACGGTGACATACTGGGGACAGACTGATTCAAAATACTCAGTCCTACCTATTTTGGAATAAGGGTACGGGTTGTCAAATAAAATCCTCCTTATTTCTATGAGTCGGTGCGGTTGAATACGCGGAACGACTTACTGGATTTCTTATGAATGAATGTGAACGGATTTTATATATATTGTTATGGTACCATGACATGAGCTTGAGTCTCATAGTCGACGGTTAGGGAGCGTATATGCAGTAGGATGCGTAGCTAGCTATGTTGGTTAAGGTATACCCTGTTAGGCTTAGGTAGTTATGCCCACTCAGGTGCGTATTGCATGTTGCATTCTATTCAGGTTGGGACCCTCAGCATAGTCTAGTGAGAGTTCTGTAGTGTGGATATATATTTATCTATTACGGACTAGATAATTATTGTTGAGATATCTAGGGTGTATCTGCGTATCGGGTCACTGTTTGGATTGTAGTTAGAGAAGAATTTGCATGTGGGCCTGACCCACTCTTATTTTTACAAGTGTTCGTTAGTTCCAGTCTTAGAGCTGGATCATGCTGAGCAGATACAGTCATTCACTCCATCGATGCTGTAGGACCTTGTTTCATGTTTTAGGCTTTGGGTTTTTTCCAGTCAACTGAGTACAGTGGGATATTTTAGGGGTCCACTGGATGGATTCCCGAGTTGTATAATTTAGAGAATGATTTGTATTCGTGGAGGATCAGTTGTAACAGAATAGTTTATCTGTTAATAAAATTTTATTCTGGGGTTTTTTGATTATCATTCTAGTTTCTTTTAAGCAAATTTTATTTACTTCATTTGTTTTAATTATATTCTGTGTTCGATTATTGCTAATTGGTTTGATATCCTCGGGTAATCGAGCGTGGGCCTGGCCAACCCACATCCGAAAATCCGGGGGGTATCACACTTCCCCCATATCTCTCTCTAGGCCATCTTATTGCATTAAAATCACCTAGAAGGATCCAAGGTTCATTAGTGATTTGAGTGGATATCTCATTGATGGCTTCCCAAAGAGGAACTCTCTCTTCATGTGTGTTAGCACCATATATGAAAGTAGCTAAAAAAAGAGTGGTTGATGGGTTGGATGGGATTATAGAACAGTGGATGAATTGGTCAGTCATCTGAATGCATTGAATATCAACTTCTGAAGGGTTCCATAAGATCCAGATTCTTCCCAAAGGGGCATAGTTAATGTTATTGATGAGTGACCATTTTGAAATTGCACTATGCACAAGAGGAATATTACAGTTCCTTACTTTAGTTTCAATAAGTCCTACAAAATCAAGCTGATTTTCAGTAATGAACTTCCTCACTTCACACTGTCTAGAGGGATTGTTCATCCCTCTAACATTCCAAGCAGCAAAAATCATTTCCTTTGAGGAGATTGTAGGTCCTCAAAGAACCTGATGTAGGCTTCTTTAGCTGCTACCTGAGCAGCCTTATTTGCTCTTTTGGCATCCTTCCTCAATTTCTTTCTCTATCTTGGTGTGAGTCGAGTGTTAGGCATAACCTTTTCACAGTAACTGACACTAGGATCAGAGACACAGACACCTGCTGGAACCTTAACAGATGGTATTTCATTATCTTTGGGTTGATAACAGGATGTAGTTTGGTTTCAGGAATAGATGGTGATGGCATAAACACACATTCATCCTCCAAATCCTGACATGCTAGAACTTGGAATCGATTGGATGATTGTGCTGAATTGGTGGATGAGGGCGGGGATGATGATGATCTAGGATATGGATTAATGGGTGTATTAAAAGTGATTTCAGGTTTGCTAATAGTTATAGTGGTAGTGGCTATATGAGCATGGGTGATGGAATTTTGTATTTTATCAGTGGTAGGGGGATTGGTGAAAGGCTCAGGGATGGGTTGTTGAGCTAACTCAGTAGTAATGGGATTGGTGCATGGCTCAGAGGTGGTTTGTATGGTAGTGAGTGTGGCCTGAGTGGTAGTGGGTGTGGGCTGTAAAGGTTTAGGTGTGGGTTGGGGTTGTGATGGGGGTATGCAAATTGGTTTTGGTTGGACCTTCCTCCATTGAGTTTTATGATTTCTTTTAGGATCTCTCTTAGGTAGCAGTATTCCAGTGAGTTCCCCTCTGTTTGGAACCCAAGGAATATGACTCAGACAATTACCCTCAGAATGTCCAAAAGTATGACATTTGTGACAAACCAGTGGTTTCCATTGATAGGTAACAAGTAATTCTAAAAATTCACCCTCTTGCAACTTTGAGATTAACAGGATCAATTAGTTCCATAGAAGCATTAACTTCAATGCAAACTCTGGCATAAGATAGCCTTGACTTTGCTTCAGTAATTGCATCAGCAAAGAGGGGGACACAAATGGCACTTGAAATACTGCTAAGGCCCTTGCTATTCCAGTATTCAAATGGTACATTATGAATTAATGCCCAGATTGGTATGGAAGTGTTTGAGTTCTTACAGTGCTGCAAGTTAGGTTGCTATTGTTTCAGGATCAGAGGACTTTTTGCAAAGAACCAGGGACCCTCATCCAGGATAATTTTGCACTCAACTTCAGATTTGAATTTGAAGATGTAAAAACCAGTTTCAGTAGCAATTATGTCAGTTAAGCCCTTATTGGTCCAAAAGTTTCTAGCAATTCTGCTTA